GGGAAGCCGAAAGCACATGACAGGTGGATGAGAGGAGCACTAAAGCACACTTAGAGGCCTGCAGTTCTTTATTGATCGGAAGCTAAAGGCCTTGTGATTCACACAGCCGTTCTAGGGGAAATCTGAGTAATGGACCACAGGAAAAAAAAAGCTTTGATTTTTTATTGCTTAACTTCATGGATTCCTTGTGTATCTTCTGCAGCCATAAAAATAACCTTGACCTTTAGTGGGTAATCTAGAGAGCAGAAATACAAGCTTACTCCAAACTGCATAGTGTATCACAACTTACTGAAAAGTGTTGATGTTTTAGATGTACTGGACATGGTGTGATTTCCTTTTAAAATAATGTAGAAGCCCACTGCAGTCGACACCGAGGGCTTTGACACCAGTAATATACTGCATACCGCAAAACTGTGGTGTTTTATGTCCTCGCAAAGAGAAGCTTAATGTCCAGCTGAGTTCATAATTAAATCCAAATGAGCTCCTACTTAAACTCATAACGTAGTTAATAAGTTGGCCTTTCCATCCCAGTGCATTTGTCAATTACTTGTTAATTTGTTTAGTCTGTGATGCTGTAGTACTGTTCAAATGGAGGAGGCTAATGAAAACAGTTCTGCTTTTTTTATCTGATATTTATGAAATAGAGCACACAATGTTTCATGAAAGCTACTGTAAGTACATTAAGGACATTATGTTTCATTTGCCTCTTTCATTGACTTTTAAAAAGAGACAGGATGATGTTTTGACTAGACGTCTCTCATAATTCTCATGGCTAGCCAACTGTGCTCCCCTATACCCTTGAATCAAGTAACACATCATTGGTCACCTGGATCAGAAGGTGCTTAGACGTCTGTGTGTTCATCGGAGAGAGACTGGGAGTGTCCCCTGCTGAATGTTAATGGAGGGAGTTTTATTGTGCTCTGAAGGTGAAGCTGTTGCAGCTCAGCACTTTCTCTTCAGAGCCACTCTATAGCTCACCTAAGGAAAGGAGGGCAGCGGTGCGTACACACGCACGGCACTTCTCCATGTTCGTACGTTTCTCACCTCAGCCCTTAAGAGCGTTCATTCAAATGCCTTAAAGATTACTGCAACAGTAATCCCAGACACAATCCCAGCTCCTGAGGGGGCTGAACTCGAATGTGGCATTAATATTCATGCTACTTTGAATTCTCCTCCCAAGGAGAGGGTAAAATGGCCGTTCGGCCTCTCGGCCACTCTGAGATGTATTAGTTTGGGGCTAAAAGGTGAGCTTGCTTCCATATTGCTTCCATGTCACGGAAAACCATATTGTCCTCACTTTTCTGATATATCGGTTTACTTAGTAAACTACTTAGTAAAAGGACAATTTAATACAGACACTGAAGGGCCCATATTGTATAAAACATTTTTTTTTCCGGAGATTGCAAGTTTAATCTCTGGTAATGACATAGCCATCCATAGCCAGAGATCCTAGAGAGCATACAGGCCTACCTTGCTCTGGGTGGGTATAGAGAGACAAATCGCTCAGCTGACAAAGACTTCACTCTCTCAGTGCTGGTAGGAGAAAAAAAGGGAAAAATACCAAAAAAAATTAAAATGTACCTCTCAATCCAAAGAGTCCATGTAAGGAAAGTAAGCTGCAAAAACAGTCCAGTTTGAATTTGTCATGGTTGTGACATCACATGTGACATAATTTATATTGTTGTGAAATCACATATTAAACAAAGTTATATATGATAGACCTCTCAGCCTACAACCTTTAATTCACTCATTCACATTGCAGTGACAAAGAGTGTTGTTACTGCAGACTGTAGGGAAGTTACTGGTGTGGAAGTAGAGCAAATGATTAAACAGTGTGCTGTTCCTAGCTGTTCGGAAGCAAAGGTATCATTGCAGTCTTCCAAACAATACGGACATCTGAGAGTTTGTTGCAGATGTTTGTTTGAGTTCAAATTTAACAGTTTATGTTAATTTCAACCTGGACTATGTTTTAAATGAGGCATAATAAAGCACAGCCTCTCAGAACAGAGCACAGTAACAAAAATAGCCAGTTTGATTCTGAGGGGTAAAGAGATATTGGAAAATGGTCATGTAAAAATAAATTATAACATTTTTTGGTGTATAAAGTCACAAAAATGTTGTAAGCAGATTTAAAAAAAAAGGCCCTCTAATGTGACATCAGAGGCTGTGTGCTCCTGAAGCTCCTATCTGCAAGTCCGGGCCGCTTGGTGGGGTGCGGCTGCAGGGCTTGGTTCTAAACCTCTGCCAGGCCATGCCACAGGCAGGCAGTTGCCACCAGAGCACCACAGTTTGAACCCGTTCAATTTGTTAAATATGTGGGAGTCGCGCAATAGGGACTGAGAATAGCATTATAAATATTAAAGGAGGAATTTGCATGCGGCGCTCCAATATTAAATCACATAGAGAGGGCCGTCGCAGGCCTTATTAAAAGATAATGTGTTCTGGAGGAAGAGGGATGCATCGCTACCTCAAACTCCTCATGGCTAAGCCAAAATCACCACCCAGCAACGGAAGAGAGTTCTGATTAGTTTAACCAGTCAGACACAGACAGACTGGGTGGAGGACTCATATATTAAACTAGCGCATTTCCCACTGTAACAGCCCATTCCCCTAAACTGAGCAGAACGTAATGAAATGCCCCGCGTTTGCCCGTATCAATCTCCCTGGCTGTAGAAATTAGCTTTCATATCGTTATCATCTGCCTGGCTCTACAAAGAGTTTGCCGTGTCAATAGACTTGCCCTGGGAAGGCTCTCATCGCGGTGGCCTCATTGGCCACTGATATAAATAGAGCAAGGGCTGAAGATATCCAATTATGACAAACCCTGAAGCACATGCTCTGGGTGACTGGCCCCTCTCTCACCCACTATTGAGATATCACTGTTTAGCATGAGGAAGTGAGAACAACTTAAAAGCAGCCATAAGTGCCATTGCAGAGACAGAAGACACACTATCTGGTGTGAGATGGTGGTTGTACCAGATCAGGCTAGTTCTATCGATAGAACGTCTTGTTTTTCATGTATACAATATGTATAATGTATACAGGAAGAGTATACCATAATACCATAAGGAGAAAACCTTGTACACACATACAAAATATAGAGACAAAATAGGCAAAAGTTTGATCACTCCCGGTCACATGACGTTTTATGTTGTGTGTCAACACATCATCTACAGAAACAACAGGGCATTTTACTACAGATTTTAGTGCACAGTTTCCATTTATTTACTCAGTTTGACAAACTGATCATGCCATAACCTTTGTACAGGCCACAATGTATGTGCTATTTTTTTACAATATGTTAAATTCAGCAAATAAATGGTTATTGTCTATTCAAATGTGCAGAAATATGTTCTCCATAGAGGATTTGTTCATTTATTTTCCCTTAGAAAGTAATGTAATTTGACCTGGGTGTCCAAGCCTTTTGCATATGACTGTATATATTTAACTGTTAATATTCAAAAACTACTGCACCTTTACATTGTGTAAATTTTCTCTGACAAAGGGACCAAAAGAAATTTTGAAATGTCATGGAAAACTGAATTTTCTTTCTTTTAAGATGTAAACATTGTTAAAGTTTCAAAACATACCATACAGTCATTTTATGGACACTAAGCTGTAGAAACAGCCTATTTCGAATTCATGTTTCTGTGATGTAATGAAAATCATTTACATATATCTGCATACAGAATCTAGAAATTTAGCCCCACCCATTCATGGTGAAGTTATAAGAAGTGTTTCACCTTTAACTGCTTTCTGAATTAGGCACGATATAGGGCAGCCTATCAAAACATTGGTTATTTATATACATCAATCTCAGGCACAGTAACAAAAACAGCCAATTAATTAGAAGGAATAAAGAGAGACTGGAAAACAATTGTGTACGATTGAATTAAGACAATCCATAAACCCGCATAAATGCCATAAAAGAAGCCAAGGTGGTAGAGAAAAAGAAAGAAAAGGAGAGCAGGATTAATCCAACGCAGCTACATCAGTGAATTTTCAAAATTGCATGTGTTCTTAATAACACCCTGCTGTGATAATCAACCCTCTCATAACCAGCCTTCATTCCTCACCCTCACTATTGTTCATGGGCCAGTGAGCTGAATTTTTTACACCTATTTTATCATGTGTGCTGGCAAAAGACTAATGTCTGTGAATGTTTTTTCATGCTAGGTGACGATAGTACTAGTGTGCTGCTTACTTGAAGGGTCTTTCTAGGCATTCAGGACGTCTATGACCCGGTCAGGTCTATGTGGAGGTGAACAGCAGGTCTTGTTTTGCTTCATAAGCCTCCACAGTTCAGGCGTTCTGAGTGTTCCTTTAAATTTGTGTGTATGCGTTTGCGTACATGCTCTATTAGTCAAGAGCAATGACCTTAAAAATTGGCAGGCTATGAAAAAGTCCCTCAGCTTGCCAGATTCTGCCTCTTTTACCTTGTCTAAAAACCAGAAACTGTTTTGTGGCTGCAGTCTACAGCCATCTCTTCCAATTCTGAGCTGCTAATCCAGTCCAGAGTGGCACACGTACACTGAGGGGAACTGCAGCTGCCAGTGGAGTACTGTTTTGTAGTCTGTACCTTGTCCAGTGTCTTCAGTGCAGGCGTATGAATGAGCCTGAACGAATGAAAAATATGATGTATTTCCCCTTTGTATACACTTACTTAAATATTCATGCATTCACTTCCAGACTCTTGTCGCTATGCTTAGAACTTTGCTCCTCAGGGGTTTCTAAATAATTCACTTTTTCCAGCTGTTTGTGTTTCAATTTCTCTTCCCTAAAATGGCCACTTTGAATATTCTCATATTCTCATTGCTATTTGGACATGGAGTGTTATTGGGGGATATTGTACTCTGCGGGGATGCACAAAATAACAAGGTTTTTCTCTCTCTCTCTCTCTCTCTCTCTCTCTCTCTCCCTCTTTCTCTCTGTGTCTCTCTCTGTCTCTCTTTCTCTCTCTCTCTCTGTCTCTCTCTCTCTCTCTCTCTCTCTCTCTACAGATCCTAATGCCTTGGGGCAGCATGGTCCAGACCATGCTCTGATTGGCGGCGTAGTGGCCGTTGTTGTCTTTGTTACCTTGTGCTTAATCATCGTACTGGGCCGATATCTGGCGAGGCATAAAGGTAGCGGTATTACTACTGAAATAAAAATTTTAAAAACAATATAATAATAATATACCAGTAATATAACAGTGCCATATTACCATTACCAGTAACGGTAATTCCAGATGCCGTAATGTGTTTTTGTCATGAGAGCTTGGGTCACATGTACATTTTTGCTGTGAACTCTAGTTAGCCAACATGACATCAAACATTATGGCTTCTGTCATTACAACTAACCGTAATAATAACATGACACTATTATATTACTGAAGACAATCTGTCACAACAACTCATAACAGCACATGACATCTACCATGACATGCTCATTTCATGTTTATGTCAGGGTTATGTAGCAGGGTTCAAGTCTTACCAGATTTGCATGTACAATAATAAAAATGTTTAATGTGACAATTAAATACATACTTAGGCAGTTTGGTAATGTAGTTTGAAAATATTACTGTTTGAATGGTTGAGCATCATTTTTGTTTCATTGTGTACAATAACTGTATCATTTCATTTAGCACTGGTTGCTAAATAACAGCTCATCTTGCACTGCAGCTCACCGTTACTAATACTGCGCTCACATGTCTGCGTTAAAAAATGTCATTCAGTACCTCATAGCAGTACACGGCCAGAAATGTAACTCTTGATGGATCTCTCTGTGTACCATCTGGGGCACATCACCACTTGCTTTAACAGAATTTTCTGTTGCTGCTCCATTGAAAATAATGGAATATCTGGTTTGCCACCGTCTGTCTGCTGCAGCATTACTTGAACGCAGCATTAATTTCTACTTTAGCACATACAAAAACCATAAATGGACACATTAGATAACTTTTATATAATTTGATGGCAGCCCATTTGATCAGATACTGAAGAAGAGTGTGACAGCAAGCCTAAATCAATTTCTGAACTTGTCTGAACAGACTTCAGTCAATAGATGTGAGGCCAAAACATCTAAACAAACTGGAATAAGCCATAAAGTGACAGAATACAGTTCAGCAAACAAGATGGGCAGTGCAATGTTTTACAGACTTTGGCTGTAACAAAACAACTACTTACATCACTAGATGTAGTCAATCAGCCAAAACATGTTTTGGTTCTTTAGTTTTGAACTGGAGTTCATTTTATAGTGTACAGTGAGTCAAACTACGGTACAAACCATGTGGACAAGTCTGTGTGACACTACGACAATTAATGAAGGCCTAGATGCAGTTTGAGTGGGTGTAGAGAAGTTTTGTGTCTGTATTTTTTACAGGAACTGTTTTGGCTGTTTGGGTGACTATTGAGTTCTAGTGTTAGCAATGTTAGCCACTCCAGTTCTAAACTAATGAAGCAACAACTGGACTCCAAACAAACATGTCTCGGCTGATGAAGTACATCTGGGTTAAGTGGAAAATTGTGTAAATTTGATTTAATTTTGCCAAACAGTTCCTTAAATATGGCAAATATTGGAAAAGGTGAGCTTAACATGATATTGGGGCAGTTTTATGACTCAATGTCAGTAATGCGAAAGACCAATATTAAAGCACATTTGATAATATTCAGGGCTTCTTTGCTTTACTTTTATCTTTATTTTCTTTGTTTTTTTCCCCTCGTGTTCTATAACTGAAGTATTACATATTGGTGGTATACTGGTTTATTCCTACAAGAATAGTCAGTTTCAGTTATAGCCGGTTTCTGTAAGAATAGTCTGTTTCAGTTGAAGTTTCAGTTATGTATGAGTGGATGGTCCTGTTTCTGTAAAACTCTTTTTCACTGTTATCTTTGACTGTGACAGGCACATATTTGACAAACGAAGCCAAAGGAGCGGATGATGCCCCGGACGCAGACACAGCAATCATCAATGCCGACGGAAACCACGCACACGCAGAAGAAAAGAAGGAATACTTCATTTAGACTGCGCTCCACTCCTTTCTCTCTCTCTCTGTCTCTCCCTCTCTGATCCTTTCTTCCCTGCTCCACGTAGGAACCTTGTCTGGCAGCAGTGGAAACTTCTCCTTCACTTCTTTATATCCTCTGTTCCTCATGCTTTTCTTTGCATTCCTCTGTTTAGTGCTCCTCTTTCCTTTTTTTCCTGATATCAATTCATTTTGAATTTCAAATGCCACTTTTTATGAATCACCTAAGCATAGCTGCTGAAGATTTTCGCCTTTTTTGTTCACAGTGTCTGTAAAATACACACAAAACAAAGTGAAACGTGCCCCGAACCACCCAGTTCGACAATGAAAGTCCTCCGCCCTCACTACTTCACTTCACAGTGCCTAAATATACAGACATCCATCCAGTTTCATTCAAATGCCTTCTTTTTTTGTCAAGCGTTTCATGATTGGTGTTTTGCTTTTTATCTTCAGCGTTACGATGAAGGTACTGTCATTTTTATCAGATCTGTTGTTTTTTATGCTTTATACTCTTTGTGGTTCATTTCAACTCCATTGCTGTAACAACAACGTTTTTGTCCAAATAAAAGATGTACATGGACTAATTTGCTCAACTTGAAACAAAGGAGGTGGCTTATACCCCTCTTAGTCTACAAGAAAAATGCTCGTCAGTAATTAGACCAAGTCTAAGTGAACATTCCACATGACATGAGGCCAATAGCCCACACCCATCATTAAAATCAGTATTTGTACTTGAAATGTAGATATTGGTATGAAGCCTATATAAATAGGTCTAAGGTCATAGAGCTACTGAGTCCTCCCATGTGTTTTTAGTTTGTGTGATTTTTTGAACACCAAAAATATAGCTAGTGTGATAGCAGGCCAGGGCTCGGGGGTTGAAGGCACATCGTTTTGTAGAATGAAGTTGTACCACTACATTTTTCTGTCCTCACTGTGTGGCATATTATGTCCCTATCTAGTCTGTATATTCCCGCACTGTTACACTCCAGGACATTGCCATGAATATGTGCTTATTATTGTGTGAGGAAGCCCCCTCTGCAGTTTACATACACACGTGCCCTAAAATCTGTACTTTAGAAGGTTAAAGATATTTAAATGATAGCGTGTTCAAGTTTATATGGTCTCATTAGCCTTGTGGGGCCAGACGTGATCTCAAAACAAGAGCGTCTGGGACAATCATGAGGAACTTTGCAGTAAATGTGGATGGGAGCATGGACTTATTAAGGTGGGAATCAATAATATTTAAACCAATCCAACTTCTTGTGAAGCAGGGGGAGTACGACACTTGGTGTACTTTTCAACACTGTCTGACAGACAGCAAGTCTCATAGCTCATAGTTAGCATGTCTGAAAAGTGCCCCCCAAAAACTCCAATTAAACATGTAAATGTGAATATATAAAATCTGGTTTAAATAAATATTACCTCTTACAACCCTGTTGTAAAAGCAGCACAGTCCAGTTCGGGTTTAGCTGGTCACCTTGCATGATCATGCTGGTTGACCACCATACCAGCATCCAAAACACAATATGTGCTGGTTTTGCTGGTGAGCAGCTTTGTCCATGCTGGTTTTTCTAAGAAGAAAGAGAAAAACAGTTCTCTAAGCTAACAATAGCGTTTTGCTAACTAGCTTCTTTTGCTAGCTAGCTAGTTTTGCTTGTGTTGTCTATTGTACGTTAACAGAGTATGGACTAGAGAAATTTGGGGGCAGGTTTTATACGTTTTTACGGTACAATTTACCTCAATCCAGCACCAAAAGTTTAACAAGTTCTCCCCAGACATGCATTCTTGTAACAAGTTCATATCTGGCCTCATAAGACTTTGATCTTATCAGTCAGGCTGACTCACAGAAAAGAAGTACAAAAACAATAAACTGTAATAGCATTTTTAATATAAACTTTGAAATAGCACTAGTAATGAAAACTCATTGTCCTAAGATGGTTACAATAGATGTTATGTGCCATTTGAGGTTGTTTTGTCCAATTGATTTGATTAAATGTAGAAGCACAAGAAAAGTGTTCAGAATCACGTTATCGGTGACCACATGACACAGAATGGGAAACTAGAACTAATCTCAATGTTCATGAAATGAGCCAATATAATATAAAACATATCTTATGGTCAACACATCTTCACAACATTGATGAATGGTTGAAGTGTTTTTTAAAATAATCTGTGTTTCTTTCTGTTCTTTTGCTTTTTTAAAAAATTCTGTTATGAATAGGTTCCCTTGTTAATAAGGCTGTATATTACATCTGCTAAATGTAGTAAGTAGTGAAAATTGTTGTTAGACTTTGGGAATCCCGCTTATCATCAAGTTTGTATATTAGCCGATTTAGACATTGATTAAAAAATATGATTTTTTTTATTGTTTTTGTTCATTCAGGATACTTAACAAGCACTCCACATTTTTGTTTTTCGTTTCGGCATAAAGTATGTATATACTGTATAAGTACTACATTTTGGTAAGAAAAAGAAAAAAACATTTTTGATGTCATGGTTTTATTTCAGATCTTGTAAATGACTCCATTTCACTCGACTGAAAGACAACTTAGCAGGAGTCACTATGAATCAGGAGGAAACGTGTTGATAAACATGCCTATGGAATTATAATAATAGATGCTGCAAATTGAGGTAGTGTTTGAAAGTGGGTAATTTTAGCATTAAACACAAACCCTTAATGTGTTATTGGTCACAGTGAATAATGAAGAATATAGTAGCATCAAGCTAACAGCAGTATTTTCCGAGAAATCGATAGCTCACTGTCAGTCCATGTATCAGTCTCTTGTGTAGAAACAGAATCATTAATGCTGGGGAAATGGTAGAAGAATAAAGCTTTAAATTTGCAGAGTAGAATCAGTAAAAATATGGTTACTGAATTCCCAGTGTACCACAATACAACACAATACAGGCAGGTAGGCTTTGGGCTAAAACGGTACTTTTCTTCTTTCTTGCCTCAACCATATGTATATATGAACCACAGGATGGGTATTATTGTTGAGGAAGCATTGATGGGGCCTACATGAGGAGAGCTGAGTATTTACTTGAGACCAGTGCACAATCTACACTGACTCTTAATTTACACCTTATTAAGGAACCACAGATGCTGCGTTCTTAAAAATAAAGGTGCCGAAAGGGTTCTTTGGAGCGATGCTTTAGAAGAACCCCTTTTGGTTTCCTTGCATTGGATTCTTCTTTAAAAGAATACTCAACCTAATTTCTATGTGCTGCATCTCGCACATAGATACGTTTACTACGGTAAAAGAACAGAAAAACCTGTTTATAATAGAAGCCAATGGGAAGTATGTTTAGGTAAATTGGTTGTCAACATCTTAATTGTTGCCTATGGCAAGTGACCCCATGCAACAGATAGATATTAGGTTGGAAAAGCACTGGAGTTCTCCTTTTAAGAACCATCCATTAGAAGGTTCTTCAAAGTGGTTCTTCGATGGCATTACTCCAAAGAACCCTGTCGGTGAATTTGTTTTTGAGAGCGTGGACCCGAAGAAGTCTCTCTCTATCTCTTTCTCTTTCTCTCTCTCTCTCTTTCTCTTTCTCTCTCTCTCTCTCTCTCTCTCTCTCTCTCTCTCTCTCTCTCTCTCTCTCTCTGTCTCTCTCTCTCTCTCTCTCTCTCTCTCTCTTCAATGCATTGGAGGCAGCAGCATAGCTATGGTCCTCATTCTTGTCAGTCAGGCTATGATAAACAGTGCTGATCTACAGCTGTACGCAGCCACTGAAAGGCTAATATGCCCATGACTAACTACATTTCTGATCAAAGATTGCATAAATCAGCTTCTCTTAATCACCATGGTTGCCTTTGCGTTTGCCGTGGGAGGTTAATGTCACGTTTTTTTGATGCAGCACCTTCTCTGGACTTGGCCATTACCATCCACTTTCCACTTTCTCATGCCAATGTACAATAGTTTCTCTCTCTCTCTCACTCTCTCACTCTCTCACTTTGTGCTGGATCTCTTTTATAAACTGAATGCAGCGTATTTTCATTTTATTTTCAGGCTGTGTTTTAATACCCTTTTATTTCTTTGTTTGCGTGCCAGATGAAATTTTTATTGTTCTTTGTTATTGATTTCCGAAAGCATGAAAATGTGCTCTGGAGTACGGGCAGGGCTGCAGAATCGAGAGCGATTTGTAATGTCTCCCGTCAATGGTCTTCAGGCCTTCTTACCGTGGATTTAAGTACTGAATGGAGCAGTCACAAATAAACACTTTGCATTTTTGTCTCACTATCAGGACTCTGTTTAGATGGAGTTCTGTATGGACGCAGGTCTCTGTCTTCGGGGTCCATCATTTTGCAGGAGGGGTGGAGTGCCCACGGTTCATGTGTAACCTGTAACTGGGGCTGTAGATGTGCACTTAGCATATGAGGTCAAATATTCCTGAAACTCTCTCAGAGATCTCATTCTGCTCGTGCCCTCCACATTAGCTGCAGCATCCTTGTGCTCTAAAAGGGAAAAATAAAGGAAACATTGCCCAAGATGCATCCAGTATGTAAATTGTGATTAGGTGTGGAAATGCTGTCTAGCTTCTGCTGCTAATTCTCAGCGCAGAGGCTTATATAAAGTACTTGTACTTTTCATTTTTATTTATTTCTTTTTTTTCTCTTTCCTAAAAGATTAGGAATTCTTTTGTTCATAATATTGGTCAGTATATACATGCTGGAGAGACCCTAATTTGTGTTGTAACTATTGTTTAGGAGAAATTCTGAATTATTTTTTAGTGATTTTAACGTCTAACGGAAAATCTTGATCCATCTGGCTGTTTCTTTTGCTTTGATGGCAGGAGGTCACGTGAGAACTGCTGTTTGTTTAAAAAAACAATTAAAAAAACTCTGTGTCACTATATCAATGCAATCCTTGTACAAATGGAATAGTAAATGTTTGTGTCAGAAATTGGCCGCCATATTACACAGGGCATGTGACTCCATTTCTTTTGGCATTCTCTTTTCTTTTTCGCGTCTCAGGAATGACTCGGTGAGTTGTTTCATAATTTAATCGGAAAGATTTTGCAAAGTATGTCCCACCTGCTCATTGCCGACTGCCGAAGCTCTGTATCTGTTGCTTTTCAAAATAGGCAATTATAATGTTAATAAAAATCTCAATGTTTATTTAATGCTTGGTTTTCTGATGCTCTTTCTTTTTTAACGATCAGCTGCATGACGTTTGAAGATCTCTAACAGCAGGTGTCATAGTGAATGTCTTCCCTGCCATAATACACTAGACATCCAAAAGTATGTAGACACACCTTTAGGTGCCCCCTTTTGTGCACATACAGCTTGTAGAATCTCTATGAAATGGCATTACCAATAGAATGGGACACACCGGAGCATCTACACATGACTCTAAAGTTACCATGCCCAATACCATGCATTAGACTGTAGAGCAGTGGAAGTGTATTCTCTAGAATTACGGTGCACCATCCAATACCTTTGACATGAGCTGGAGTCATGTTTGTGATCTGGAACTAATCATACAATATCAGTACCTGACCTCACTAATGCTCTTGTGGCTGAATGCAATCAAATCCTCAAACCAATGTTCCAAAATCTACGGTAAAGCCTTCCCACATTAGAGGCTGTTGCTGTGGCAAACAGGGGATAACTCCTTGTTAATATCCTTGATTTCAGAAAAAAAAATGTTTGGACATATAGAGTATTTGCATGACCATGCATGCGTTTTGCCTCATTTAAATATAGTCTATAGAAAGAAACACATGTGGACCCTGTTTTGTTCATCCACTGACCCACCACCAGTAAGGCCAGTCATATGCAGAAGTTGTAGAAGGTGCTTTTATTCGGAACAACTAGCAGAATACCTTGTTGACCTATCCTAAAGCTAGTGCAATTAAGGTAGTGTCTTGGCCTAAGTCAGTGTCCACAGCTGCATATAGATGGGCTACACATCTGTAACACTAAAAACATCTACAACCCCATTTCCAAAAAAGAAATAAAATAAAAAATAAAAACAAAATGCAATGATGTGCAAATTATTTAAACCCTGTATTTCATTGAAAATAGTACAAAGACAACATATCAAATGTTGAAACTGAGGAAGTTTTTTTGAAAAATATATGCCCATTTTGAATCTGATGCCAACAACACATTCCAAAAAGTTGGGATGGTGACAACAAAAGGCTGGTAAAGTTGTGTAATGCTAAAAAAAAACACCTGGTAGTTAATCGGGAACAGGTCAGAAACAAGATTGGGTATAAAAAGAGCATCCCAGAGAGTCTGAGTCTTTCAGAAGTAAAGATAGGGAGGACTTCACCACTCTGTGAAAGACTGCATGATCAAATAGCGCAACAATTCAAGGACAGTTTCTCAATGTAAAATAGCAAAGAACTTTTGCTTTTGATCATCTATGGTACATAATAACATTTAAAGATTCAGTGAATCTGGATAAATCTCTGTATGCAAGGGACAAGGCCAAAAACCAGTATTTGCTGGCCATGATCTTTGGGCCCTCAGGTGGCACTGCATTAAAAACAGACATGATTCTCTAATGGAAATCACTGCATGGGCTCAGGATCACTTCTTAAAAAAAATGCTGTCTATGAAAACAGTTCATCGCTGCATCCACAAATGCAAGGTAAAACTCTAAAACGCAAAGAGGAAACCATATATAAACAGGATCCAGGAATGCTGCCACCTTCTCTGGGCCCGAGCACATTTAAAATGGACTGAGTGGAAGTGGAGAAGAGTTGTGTGGTCCAACGAATCAACATTTGAAATTCTTTTTGTAAATCATGGACACTGTGTCATCTAGGCTAAAAACCACTCAGCTTGTTAACAGCACACAGTTCAAAAGCCAGTATTCAAGATGGTACAGTGGGGCATTAGTGCACATGGCATGGGTGACATGCACATCTGTGAAGGTACCATTAATGCCAAAGGATATATACATGTTTTGGCAACATATGCTGCCATTCAGACGATGTCTTTTTCAGGAAAGGCCTTG